CGGGCCAAGAGGTAGGAAGGCTTCTCGGAAGAGGGGACTTGAGCTGGGCCTTCAAAAGGAGGCCTGGAGTAGACTGGGCTGGGAAGGAGGAGAGGCATTGTGGGGGCGGGAGGAGCCTGGGCAGCGTGGGTTGCGTATGTCCTGATCGTTGTTCTGGGCCAGGGCGTCAGAGGGAGGGAGGTCTTGTTTAGAAGATAGTCGTGTTTTCACAGTTGGGTGAGCGTGAGGAGGAGGGAGGACAGTGGCTGGGGGCGGGGGGGCGGTGGGGACGGAGACTCAGAGTCCCTGTGGATGTGGGAGGAGGACCCATGTTCTACATCTTGACCCAGTGAGCACTGGATCCTTCAGCTACGCTTCCGGTGATGGGCCTAAAGCCCCAGGCACCCCCCACCTTTTCTCAGGATTTCTGGACTTTCCACGGGTGAGGCTGCCTACCCGGCGGGAGAGCCCCCTCCTCCCGGTCAGCCTGCTCTCCGCTCTCTTTCCCAGGCCGTGTGTGGGTACGGAGCCCAGGAGGCGCTGCCCCTGCGCCCCGTCAGGGAGGGTGAGCTCTACTTCCCTGAGGACCGGGAGGTGAACCTGGTGGAGCTGGCCCTGGCCACCAACATCCCCAAAGGCTGTGCGGAGACGGCTGTGAGAGGTGAATGCAGGTCCCTCGTGGAGCGGGGGCGAGAGCGAGGCTGTCAGGGGAGCGGTGCTGGGCTGCCTGGTGGGTGGAGCACAACTGGGGGGGGAGCGGGCGCGACAAGGGCAAAGCCCCAGGCTGAGCCCTCCCTCTGCTCTGATTCTAGTTCATGTCTCCTACCTGGACGGCAAAGGGAACCTGGCGCCTCAAGGATCGGGTAAGGGGCGCAGTGGGGAGCGGGCCCCCTGGTTGAACCCTCCTCCCGCAGGAGCTGAGGGCGGTGCCTCTACACCCCTGAGACTTCAGCTCACAAATATTTATCGACACCTGGTTCTGAGTGGGCACTGGTCTCTGCCCAGAGGGCTCAGAGCTGGAGAGAGGGGCTCATTCCTGTAACCAGTCGTGATGCTGCGTGTTGGGTGCGAGCACGGAAGTCTGAGCGGCACGCGGGGTCCCTGGGGCATGTGCCTCACTTCCAGGGTCTGCTGAGCAGAGGAGGGGTGGGGGCAGCGCACAGAGCACAGAGGTGCGGAGAGCTTGCAAGGTCAGGCTGCTCAGCGGGGCTGGCGGCTCTGTGCTCTGGGGGTCCTGTCTGAACAGGCTCCTGGGGGTGGGGGTGGGGATGGTGGTTGTGGGGGAGCAGGCAAGGGAGGCCGAGAGCGGGCTGGGCTGTCCACCCTGACTACCTCCTGCCCATCGTCTCGCAGTGCCCAGCGCTGTGTCTTCACTGACCGATGACCTGCTCAAGTACTACCAGCAAGTGACTCGCGCTGTCCTGGGGGACGACCCACAGCTGATGAAGGTAGTGAGTGGGCCCCCGTTTGGGACACCAAGTCCAGCTTCCGAATTCTCATGAAGTTCTCTCGGGTGCCTACTCCCTGTCCTCTGCTCACTGACGGCTGCCGTGTGTGGGAGCTGTTCCCGGGGTGTGCTGCTCTGAGCCCGGGCCTCCTCCAGTGCCGACTCCCCTCCTAGGCCAGGAGGAGCCCTGGTCCTTAGGGGATGGGCAGCTCAGCAGGGCCCTGGGGTGCCTCCCCACACCTCATTCCAGAGCCCACTCTCGGAGTGTCTGTGGGCCTGGGGCTAAGAGGGGCATCAACACTGCAACTTTCCTTTGCCTGGACTTGAGACGGGGTGGGGTGGGGGTGAGCGGTCGGGAGCAGGGGAAGGAAGGGGAGCCAGGCCTCAGACCAGCCCCTGCCGCTTTAGGCTCTGGGGCTCCGAGGCCTGCTGGGCAGTGCCCGGGAGTCCTGTCTGTCCAAGTCCGAGGGTAGTTTGGTGGCTGCTCCACCACGTGGCCTCTGCTTTAGGGTTTTCCATCCTCCACGTCTTCACGTCTCTGGCTGCTGTGGTTTTTCCCTTGAAGATGAGGAATGTTGCCCCCATCCCTTCCTGCCTCACAGGCTCGGCTCCTGTTCCCCGGGCACAGGGCAGGGCCGGCTGCGGGCCTGGGAGCTGATGCCCTCCCCACGGGCCTGACGTCTGCTTCCCCAGCCGCAGCCTTGGGACTTTATCCAGAGGGGTTTGGAGGGCACAGGTGGTGGAGGTGCTGGGTAACAACATTTTCTTCATTTACTCTAATGTGTTTTTTCTGCGTATAAAAGTAATGGCAGCAGATGTTTATTGTGGAACTGCTGTACCATAGAGACACACAAAGTAGGAAGTGCGAGTCTCCTGTGGAACCCCACCTCCTTTCTATGTATAAACAGTGATTGCTCTAGTACAACCCCCGGGCTCTACCAAAACGCCTGGTTTTAGAACAACTGCTTTTCTCAGTTAAAAATATGTTAGAAGATTTGACTTTGGGTGGTGGGCACACAACGCAGTGTATCATAGGTGATGTATCGTCTACTTAAAATCTATATAATTTCATTAGTCAGTGTCACCCCAATAAATTTAAAGTAAAAAGTTAACCCTTTGCACTCTGCTGTCCCCTCTCAGGGGACATCGGAATTCTAGCATATCACTCGGATGTCCCCTCTCAGGGGACATTGCAGTTTATTAGTGATTACGGGGAATTGAGTTATTTCAACGCAACTTTTTGAGACATGCATGTTTCCCTGAAGTTTTACCTTGAAATGGCACAAGAAATTAAATCAAAATATCGTAAAATTACTAAGATATATACAAGAAATGTCAGCGGGTTTTGTGTCGGATTAAACAATAAACTACATATTCCCGATGTGGGACAAAGAAAACGGGACTGCATTGTGTGTTCTAACAGGAAAACACCTGGTGGCAGGCGTCAAACCACTTATTACTGTCAAACATGCACTAATCAGCCTGCAATGCATATTGGGAAGTGTTACAAAACTTATCATACTGTACAAAATTATAAACAATAAAATATTGGTTTTTTTTGCAAATATACATTTCTCGATGTCACCCAATTCATATAAGTCCAATATCATTATAATACGTTACTTGGTTCCAAAATTATACTAAATAATACGAGGGTCTGTAAATGCACGTTTCCGCCGCAAAGTAGCATCGAGTAGCTGGTAGCCAATGTCCAGAATGGTTCGGAGTGCAAAGGGTTAAATGAAGCTCTAGCCAGTTTGGCTCAGTGGATAGAGCGTCGGCCTGCGGACCAAAGGGTTCCAGGTTCGATTCCGGATACAAGAGCCCTGCATGTATCTTGGTTGTAGGCTCCTCCCTGGCCCGGGCCCTGGTCAGGGCACAGTGCAGGAAGCAACCAGTCGATGTGTTTCTCTCATATCGATGTTTCTCTCTGTCTTTCTCTCTCTCTCTTTCTCTCTCTAAAAATCAATGGGAAAATATCCTCGGGTGAGGATTAACAACAACAACAAAAAGTGAAATGAAAAAAAAAGTTAGGCATTAGGTTGCATTCAATTTTTTAAAATTTTATTATTAAAAAAAATATATATTTGTATTAATTTCAGAGAGGAAGGGAGAGGAAGAGAGAGATAGAAACATCCATGATGAGAAGAATCCTTGATTGGCTGCCTCCTGCACGCCCCACACTGGGGATTGAGCCTGCAACTGGGGCCGGTGCCCTGACTGGGAATCAAACTGTGACCTCCTGGTTCATGGGTGGACATTCAACCACTGAGCCATGCCAGCTGGGGCCGATTTTTTATCAGTACAGACTGTGCTGTTTGTGGGTATGTCTGTGAGAGGGTTTCTTTTATAGTGGATTAAATTTATAGATGTTAAATTGCTGAATCAAAGAGTGTAAACATTTAAAACTTTAATACGTCAGTGCTAAACTGTCCTTTAAAAAAAGTTGGCTTCTGCCCTAGCCGGTTTGGCTCGGTGGATAGAATGTCGGCCTGTGGACTGAAAGGTCCCAGGTTCGATTCCGTCAGGGGCACCTGCCCTGGTTACAGGCTTGGTCTCCAGTAGGGGGTGTCCAGGAGGCAGCCAATCAATGATTCTCTCTCATCATGGATGTTTCTCTCTCCCTCTCCCTTCCTCTCTGAAATCAATACAAATATATATATATATAAAAATAAAAGGCAGTTCTGCCTGGGGCTGGTGGGTCCAGTGAGGCTGCCCCTTCCTTTTCAGATTGCTCTCCAGGACCTGCAGACCAACTCCAAGATCGCAGCGCTCCTGCCTTACTTTGTTTATGTGGTCAGTGGGGTGAGTGAGCAGGCGGGGCCGGGGAGGACGTTTGGTGGGAGGCGGTGACCCAGCAGCATGTGGGGCTCCTGGAAGGTGCCATCAGAATGCAGGGTCCTGGGCCCCCTCCTGTGCCCCTCACCATCCTCTTCCCCCAACAGGTGAAGTCTGTGAGCCACGATTTGGAGCAGCTGCACCGGCTCTTGCAAGTGGCCCGGAGCCTGGTTCGGAACCCGCACCTCTGCCTGGGACCCTATGTCCGCTCTCTGGTGGGCAGTGTCCTCTACTGCGTCCTGGAGCCCCTGGCTGCCTCCATCAACCCCCTGAATGACCACTGGACTCTGCGGGATGGTGCCGCCCTCCTTCTCAGCCACATCTTCTGGTAGCCACTGGGCCTCGAGCAGAGTAAAGGGTGGGACCTGCAGAGCTGAGTGGGTTGGGGGAGGAGGTGGGGTCCATTCTGCCCTGGAGGCCCTGTGTTGAGAGGTGGGGAGCCCCTTCCCTTGGAGCTTCCTACTTGGTGCCATGGTGCACTGGGATGCGACAGGTGGATGACAGCATACCGAGGATTTGGTCCTTCCGCTTCAGGTCCCGGGCAGTCTCCCCTGGCCCCTCCTTCACTCCCCCCAGTGCCGTGCAGGTGCCGTTTTCTCCGCGTGCTGTGACTTGAACCGTGTTGGGCAGGCGCTGCCTCAGCCCCTCTGACCATGCTGCTCCCACAGGACTCACGGGGACCTTGTCAGTGGCCTCTATCAGCAGATCCTGCTGTCCCTGCAGAAGGTCTTGGCAGACCCTGTGCGGCCTCTCTGCTCTCACTACGGGGCTGTGGTGGGGCTGCACGCCCTTGGCTGGAAGGTGAGGACCTGGCCTTTCTCTCAGCCTTTAGAGTTGCCATTTGTCATTAGGAAAATGGTACTTGTGTCTTTTATCATAAAAATGGTGTATGCTTGCTGCTGCTGTGCACTGAGTTCTTGCCTGAGGCCAGGCTCAGTGATAGCCTTTTATTTTTTTTATGCTTATGTCCAAATGTATTAGATACTTGTGTTTTTTTCTATTTACTTATATTTTGGGGGTAAGTTTTTTTGTGTTTTTGAAAAATATATTTTTATTGATTTATTTTTTTTAGAGAGGAAGGGAGAAGGGAGGGAGGAAGGGAGGGAAGGACACATTGATAAGAGAGAACTACTGGGGATCAAACCCGCGGCTTTTCCATGTACAGGACAGACACCCCAACCAACTAAGCAACACAGGCCAGTGCTTATTTGTTTATTTTCTTTATTTAAAAAATTTTTTTTTTATTATTGATTTCAGAGAGGAAGGGAGAGGGAGAGATAGAAACATCAATGATGAGAGAGAATCATCGATCGGCTGCCTCCTGCATGCCTCACACTGGGGATCGAGCCTGCAACCCAGGCATGTGCCCTTGACTGGAATCAAACCTGGGATCCTTCAGTCTGCAGGCCAATGCTCTATCCACTGAGCCAAACCAGACAGGACTATTTCTTTCTTTTTTATTGAATTTACTAGTGGCCTGGTGTATGGAATCCTGCACATTGAAAGGAAATTAATTAGAAGAAATCTGTATTTATAAAAGGCTAATATGCTGAGTGTCTGACCGGGTAATGACATCATGTAGCAATGCCGACTTCCTCTCCCTAGCGATGACTAGCCTCCTTGGAGTTTCTTCAGCCCAGGAACACAACTTGCTTTATAGCTAGGTGGAAACATTTCACACTTTAACCAAATGTCTGTGAAGCGTTTTCCGTGCCTCATCTCATTTGATCCTCACAGAAGGCCTGGAGTAGGTAGATAGGAAACTCAGTGGAATCCCATTTTCTTTTCATTAGCTGGAAAACGGAGATTTAGAAAGCTTAGAAACTTGACCCGACTGAAAAGAAATAAGAAATGGTGGACCTTGAAAATGACTTCAGGTTTTCTCACTGCACAGTATATAATCAAACACTGTTGCAGTTAAATATTTGACCCTTTGTTCTCCCTGCGTGATCTACAATAATAATCTGCTTCATGTTGATATTTACTGCTGTGTTGCTGACAGTTACCTGAAAGAGAAGTTGGGGTGCTTCACTGGGCTGGAAAAAAGTTTAGCTAAATCAGAAAGCAGGTCTAATTAAGCAAGTTTATTCTATATCTATAAAAGGCTAAGTTGATTTGCGCATACACAATACATATAAAGCTCTTGCTGACGCCAGTCTTGTGTTTTGATCTGTCATTGTCAATAGTGAATTTGGTTGACACTTCTATCATAGAGAAAGGGAGAATAGCGATATTAAGATAATTCTTATATTTAATTTCCTTTCAATGTGCACAAATTTGTGCACTGGGTCAACGTTTATTTTTAAATTGCCAGTGAGGGTCATGTACCGGATGGTCGGTTGGCCGGTCGGTCACTTAGCCTTTTATATATATAGATTGGGGTGACATTGGTTCACTGATCTTCTGTATATAAATGTCTTATCCTTTCAAAAGTCCTGTGTGGCAGCCCAGCTGGTGTGGTTCAGTGGTTAAGCATTGACCTATAAACCAAGAGGTCACAGTTCGACAGAGACACACACCTGGACCTGCATGTTTTTGTTTTTACTTTAAACTTCACTGGTCGCACCCAGCTTCTTCCTTTGCCAACATGCAAGTTCTTTTCCTTCTCTGCCAGGCAGGCAGGCAGATGGGAGAGGCAGGTGCAGCCTTGTCGGTAGTTCTTTTCTTTTGAAGGCAGTGGGTTTTTCTCTTGCATTTCTGTCTTCAGTTTCAACTTATCAAATTCCTCAGTCTCAGCCACATTGGGTTTGTCAGATGTGGTTGCAGAGCTGGGGGAGTGAGGTTTGAGGAGTCTGATCTGCTCAGTGGCTGCCCAGTCTCGGTGGGGTGGGGGCGGGTAGGGAGGGGAGGGGGACTTAGAGACAGAGTTTCTTAGTGAACGATATGTACATTTCTGGGATATACTTAATTTGGTCATGGTATATAGTCTTTAAAAAGTATTAGAATGTAGTGCATTTTCTATATACTGGTGAGTTTACTAACATTTTAAAGGATTTTCTTACATTCATGATGAAATTAGCCATGTGTTCGCTTATGTACTGTCCTTGTGTGGTTTTAGGGCCAGGTTTACATTGGCTTTACAGAATGGAGGGGAGGGTATTCCGTTTTTATATTTGGTTTATTTAATAAGATTGAGATGCCCATTTCTTGAGTGTCTGTAGACTTTGTCAAATTTGGCGTGGTGTTTTGTCGTTAGATTTTTAATTATCGCAGTGACAAAATTTTTTAAGCTTTCATAGCTCTTGTCTGCAGCAAGTCATATTTTTCTAGGAGCTTGTCAGTTCTGTGAGTATTTTCAGATCCTCAGGCTGTGGCTGACTCACCAAAGGCTCTTACCCATCAAAGCCCCACAAAAACATAACCCCCTCTGTGAAGTCTTAATTGCTTTCCCCAAATGGACTTCAGGATTTAAAATTCTGTAATCAGGAGTCCAGGACTCTGACTTGTTCTTGTGGTTTGACCTGAGACCCTGTTCACATCCAGGCGAGGACAGTACTGTGTGTACAGGGAAGCAGTTGGCACCTAAATTCCTCCGTTGTTAGCCCTGGGCATCACTTATACCCTCTTGGCCCTCATGTCAGTGACATGGCTCTTGTTAGTTATAGCAGATCACTTTATATTGTGTCTTTGTACCCAATCTTCATTTCCAGGGCTCGGTGAAGGCTTGTGCACACAGTAGGTTCCAAATAAATGTTGGTTGAGAATGCCACGCAGGGAATTTAGGAGGAGGGAGCCCTGTCCAGTATCAGGGATAAAAGTAGGACTTTCATGGGAAAGGGCATTGGAGGCGATCAACCACCCAGAGGCCCTCTGCATCCCTCTCTCTTCCAGGCAGTGGAGCGCGTCCTGTACCCACACCTGTCCACCTACTGGACAAACCTGCAGGCCGTGCTGGATGACTACTCCGTATCCAATGCCCAGGTGAAAGCGGACGGGCACAAGGTCTACGGCGCCATTCTGGTGAGTGAGCGGGCGGCCCCCCACCCCGCAATACCCCGCGGGCCGGCCCCTCGTGGCCCCCGCACAGCCTGTCCTCTCCCCCAGGTGGCCGTGGAGCGGCTGCTGAAGATGAAGGCGCAGGCGGCAGAGACCCACCGCAGTGGGCCTGGCGGCAGGGGGTGCCGGCGCCCCGACGACC